TGTGTGTGTGTGTGTCTGACGTGGGCTCTTCACGCACGCGAAGGTGGGCTCAGGCCATGGTCTCTCAACTCCACGCCACAGCTCCTTCGACTTCTCCTGCTGGCAGCGGCTGGGGCAGGAAGGTCACCCCAAGCACCTTACCCTAACCCTCTTGGCCACAGCCCTGGGAAGTGGGCCTGGGGCTACTGGACCCCCCCTACAGGTGACTTGGGGATGTTGAGGCAGTGACAGGACAGTGGTGGAGCCAAGGGTGGCTGGCCTTCCCACAGGTCCCACCCTACCATGCTGGGGTCTGTCTGCCAAAGGATGCACGGGTTGGGCGGGGCAGCTGAGCGCTGGCCAGGACATCAGGAGGCCCCAAAGCCAGAGGCCGACATGGGCTGTGATGTCAAGCAGATCTGGGTCCACTACTCCATACACATAACCCCTGGCCCCGCCGAGCCTCCATTTCCCCTGCACAAAACTGGGTGCAGGCCTGCACAGGGGAGCACATCACCGCAATGTAACACCCCTCCCCAGGGGCACCCCCCTCAAGGTCCCTGGAGTTGCCCACCCTAGGCTTCGGGTTGGCCAAACCCTGAAGCCACCAATGAGGCAGGAGGTCACCCCCGGGGTGACCTCAGGCAAACCCTCTGGCCTCACCTTCCCCGTCCGTCGATTGGGCAGAATGATGGCAGCCCCTGGACAGTGGGGCCTGAGAAGCTAATGCAGCCAGTTGAGCAGATGTGGTCAGCAAGCTCATGGGAAGCGGGGGAGGACGGCTGCTTTGCAGAGCTCCAAGCATGGATACCAGAAGGGCCTGGGGCAAGACTCGCCAGTCATCGGCAGCTTGGCGGCCGCACCTGCCTTCTTCCTTTGGGACAGAGCGCTTGTTTACTGTGTCCTGGGTAACAATGTCCCCAGCTAGACCCCTGCCGGCCCCCCTCCCTTCAGAGAGCTGGTGGCGTGTGCCCCTCCCCGGCCAGGGCACTGGGAGAGGGAGGTTGGATGTGACTTCTAGGAAACTCCTTGGGATGACTCAGCCGGAGGTCCTCCTTGCCCTGCCCCGCTTCCTCCTGCAGCCCCAAACTCAGGGTGGCTGGAGCTCCTGCGGCCACTCCCACCGCCAGGCCTTGTCAAGGGGAAGCCAGGCCAGGGGATGGGGCCGCAGAAGACAGGAGCAGCCAGAGACTCAGCAGACCGAGGGTGCTCTCATGCAAGTCCTGCGCACCTTCCTGAAACATCTCTCCCAGGAGAAGAAAGGGGACCGTGCAACCAGCCCTCTGGGGTGTCTGGTTTTTGTCGCTGAGTGCAGCCCTAAATAGCGCGGGCCCTCTGAGGTGGCACGCTAACTGGAGGTCCCAAGGGACAGAAAGCCAATGCTGAGTAGACTGAAGCAAAAGATAGAAGGCAGCCCTGGGTATAGAAAGGTCCAGGGTCAGCTTCAGGCATGGCAGGATCAAGGCCCTGGCCCCCCTGCCTGCTGCACCCTCAGCTCCACACTCCATGAGCAGCGGCATGCTCAGCCCGCCCCTGCAGCTGCCCAGCAGGGAAAGGTGCTCCTTTCTCAGACTTCCCAGACTGGCTCTCCTTGACCCATGCTGGGCCACCTGTCCACCCTTGAGCCAATCCCTGGATCACAGTGCCTGTCCCAGAACCCATCTACTTTGTGTGTGTGTGTGTGTGTGTGTGTTGCATGTGCTTGTGAGTACATACGGCGTATAGACAACATCTACTCAGCTTCTGCATGCGACGCCACATGTGTCTCTAGCCTGTGTGCATACATTGCTGACACCCGTGTCAATGAGGGTGTGCACACCTGGGTGTGTGGAGGCGACCATATGTGCTGCAGGGGTTGGTCAACCCAACTACTCTCTGAAAGATTGGCAGTTCAAATCCGCAGTGGCAAAGCTGGTGACCCGCTCCTAGGCCACCGGCAGGCTCAACAGCCCACAGGGGCGCCATTCTCCTCGGTCCTGCCGGGCCACCGGGAGTCGGTCCAATGAGTTTGGTTGTGTTGGTGTTTGTGTCTGTGTGTGTGTGAGTGCATGCATCCGTCTATGCCACTGTGTCCCTGTGCTAGTGTGTGCGTATGCAAGTTTAGACGTGGTCTGTCCCTCTGGGGGTGGTAGTGTATATGTGTATAAGCAAATAGCTGTGTGTGTGTGTTCCTCAGGTGTGCACAGGGCGAGGCAGACAGGCAAGGCCCAGGGAAATGGAAGGAGCTCCACTGTGGCCCCCTGCCTCCCCCCACCCCACCCCACCTCCAGGCTTCCCCTGAGCTCCCTTGCTCTCTGCACATCTGCTTACACCAGACTCTGCCATGGGCCAACCAAGACCCCTCACAGCCAAGGTTCAGGAGGTGGGGGTGCCAGGATCCCCCAGACAGATCAAGTGGGGCAGGGCCAGGTCCCCTCGCCTGTGAAGTTATGACACTTACAGCCATCCCCACCCAGGGAGGACTGTGCAGACCCAACCCACAGCCTTGGCCTGGGCCCTGCTCTGCTCAGCGCAGGGGGCAGGGGGCGCGCTGGCAATGCCCTGCTCCCCACTGTGCAGACCCTCAGGCCGGCAGGGATGTTTTTAGGTCTGAGGCTGTCCCCGCCCAGAGTGACAGGAAATGTGCGGGCCTGGGTGCCTGCCTGATAACTGGGGGCCCACTCGCCCCTCCCGGCCAGACTCTTATCAGCTGCTGCAAACACCCTCCCTGGACTGGGAGCCCGCTGCTTCCAGTGCAGGCCGAGGGAGGAGATGCTGGACGCATGAGTGAGCCCAGGGAGGCGGGGACGGGTGATCCTGGTGCAGGGTGCTGACTCGGCAGGAGATCCTGCCCCTTTCCGGGCCTGGGTCCGAGGGAGTCTTGCCAGCCTCCATGTGACTGAAAAAGGCCTGGTAGAAAGCAGAGGGCACTCACAGGGCAGGACACCCCTCAGTCGCTGCAGCCCCACCTCCTCCTCATTCGTCTCTCTCCTAGCAGGGTTGGCCCGGGGACTCACAGCAGGAGCCACACGGGCCCTCCACCTGAGACATGTCCCCCAGAACACAAGGCCCAGTGGACAAATGCCCCTCGATGAGCAAGTGGCCCGGGTGGCACTCCCCAGGAAGCCCCACCTTACAGGCTGGCAGCATCCAGGGGGTGGGGTGCTGGCCTGCCTGCCCTGTCCCCACAGAAGCCTGCTGTGGCTGCAGCCAGTAGGTGATCAAGGACAGGAAGGGTTAGCCTGGCTTGGAAGCCAGGCGGCGTGGCAAAAGGAGGCAGATTCTGGGGGGCAGGGACTGGACCCAATTCCTCAGAGGGGTGGGGAGATGGGAGGTTCCACTGTGGGAGAAACATGACAGCCGTTTTTTTTTTAATTCATAAGGAAATGTTTTATTTTTATCATCAGAACGTTCTAATAAAAATATATTAGCGGCCTTCATTTCCTGGGACTTTGTACCAGTGGGGCACACACTCGCTCCCTGAGGCCCCTGCCCTCATGAGGTAGGTCTAAGGAATACTCCCAGCTCCCTGCAGCCCCGCCTGGCCCTGCCTGCGGGGACCCCCTCCCCTGTGCCCACACACCCCCTAGCTGAGCCGCAGCTGCTGGTGGAGCGTCTGGCCTGCCCACACAGCGGGGTCGTCCTGCCACAGCTCTTACTGCGAACACCCGGTAAACGGCGAGGACCCCCACCCTCCTGCCAGGAGTCAGCCAGGTCAGACCCTCAGGAGGGTCCCCACCCCGCTTCCTTCTGCTTCCCCACGTGCCGGGAGCCGGCGGCTGGGGGGCAAGTACCAGGAGGACTCGGAGACAGTGCCTACCTGCCGGGGAGGACACACAGAGCTCACGCCGAAGCTGGCGTCACCAGGCAGGACAGCTGGGGCATTGGGGACATATGGGAACCTCCTTGGTGGGGCTCCCCGCCCCAGGGGCTCCAGCCAGCAGGTACTTTGTCATGCCGAAATCTGTTTGCTGTCTTCTGGGGCGAGGCCAGCAACCAGTGGGACCCTCGGCATCAATAGGTTTTGGATCCATGGTGACTAGGAGTCTCCGTTTAAAAACTAGACCGAACATTTGAAATCGCCTTCATAGCAAAATCATGGCAAAGAACAAAACAAAACTGCAGTGCTTCGACTGAAAAGGCTTCCGGCTGGTACCCCGAAGCCAGTGGTCCTCGGGCCCAGGGTAGTCTGGGCATGGTCCGTGGAGAAGGGTGTGCTGCGGACCCTCAGCTCTCAGCTTGTGCGTCCATCACCAGCCAGCCTCTCTTAAGGCTTCCGGGGAGTAAGGCACCTCTGTGCACGGATCTGGGAAGGTCTGGCGGCCCCAGTGGGGGAAGAGATGGAAACGTGTGGGTGTCAGTGTGCGGAGGGGGCAGGCTGAGGGCTGGGAAAGAAGCCAGGTGGGGGAGGAGTCGGGGGTATATCCTTAAATAACTTCAGTCTTTCCTAAATCCTTTCCTGCGACCCGATGTGTCACGGAGCAGGAGAAAGTCTCTTGGGGCTCCCCTGGGTTCTCGGGGAGCACAGGGGCTAGGACGCCCCGGGCACCCTCACTGCAGCCGGTCGGACTGTAGCTGTGGCTGGTATTGCACATAGGTGGTGCCTGCAGGGGTCGCGGCCGACAGGGCCTGGGGCACAGCTGCCGGGTAGCTGTAGCCCACGAAGCTGGTGGTGGTGGTGGCAGCGGGCGAGGTTGAGAACGGGTCGTAGGGGGCCGGTGGGTATGGGGTGTAGGTAGGGCTGGCCGGTGTGTACTCGATGTACGGCGAGGGCAGCGAGGGGACGGGCGCTGGGACCACCACGCTGGGCTGCAGGATGGCCGGCGGGTAGATGTAGTGGGGCATCAGCCTGTGAGGCAAACGGGGAGGGGTCAAGGGCGGGTGGGCATCGCTGGGGGACAGAGCAGCAGGATGAACCTGGACATCCAGGTAACCATGCCCGCCCCCCCCCTGTGCTCCCACGGCTCCCTCCTCCAGCGCCTGCCCCCACCCCATCCCACCTACTACATGACAAGGAGTGGGACCCCTCTTTGAAATCACTGAGCATCCCCCCGCCACTCTGCCACGATGCTAGAAGCACTGGATGGTGCCCAGTGCCCGGGGCTGGACACGTGGGCAAAGATGCTGATCAACAGAAGAATCCGGATCCACAGAGGGGAAATAAAACAGAATGTGCAACTTTCACGGAACCCCGATTTTGTGGCGCCAAGGAGGGTGGGTGAGCCCCTGAAACGACTGCCCTCAGAGCATCTTTAAACCTTAAGCCAAACATATCCCCGGAGTTCTCTTTCCCCACCGCCATCGAACAGATCCTAACGCACAGACACCCTGTAAAAAGACAGTGTGGAACGGCCTCTTTCGGTTCACCAGGCTGCAAAAAGCCTCCTCTTCCTCTCACGGAGTGCCGGGGGGGTTCAAACTGCTGGCCTTGTGGTTAGCAGCCCAGTGCGAACCCCACCACACCACCAGGGCTCCTGGAAGTTTTCTTAAAGCCAATAGTGTTTCAACTCCATCAGGGGGAAAAAGAAGTGTTCCTTGAGCTCTTGAAGAAGTAGCTGTTCAGGAGCACACTGGAGACAGCAACTCACGAGGGGAGCCCGAGACCCTGGGAGCAGGGAGTCCGGCCTCCTGGGAGGACTGCTCAGAAACGGAGACCGAGACTGCCTGCAGGGTCACTGAACCACGCCCACAGAAACGCAAGCTGCCCCATGTCTGGGCCAGATACGTGCTCAATAAAATTAAGACACGTTTCTGAGAATTTCAAGATGTCAACAGCAGAGCCGCACAGAGGGCAGGGAGGGGCCTTCTGCACGCCAGTGTCCTTGAGGCCACAGCCCAGGAGGAGTCGGTCCCCTCTCCCCTGCCCAGCACACACCACACCAGGTGACAGCCTGTGTCACCCACTCACTCACCACATCTGTGGTCTTTCTCCTCAAGGAAACTGCCGGCACCATGTGGAAATTTGGGATTTTCTTTTGCCTCCGCCCCTCCCCCACCCCAGCTCCCAATCTGAGCACCAGGAGGGGCTCAGTGAGCGTTTGTGGAAGGGACCAACAAGCAGAATGAGCCCCTCTGAGCCATCAACTCCGGGAGACACCCCCCCCAAGCAGGGGTGGTGGTGGAGGGGGCCACAGAGATGGAGGAGGCAGGGCAAAGTGAGGACCCAATGCAGCCGACCTCTGGGAACAAGGAGAGTCCAAACTGTGGATCGGAGAACTCACTTGCTGAATAAACTTTCACGTGAAGCACAAGACGCTATTCAAAAAGAAATGCTTTTCCGCCTACGGGGCGTGTCCCCTTCCCCACAAGCCCCCCACGTCCATCCCCCGCAGGCAGGTGTACACAGCAGCACCTCAGAACAGTGGGAAGCCAGAGGATGCACACCGTCCAGTGTCCTGTACAGCAGGGCAGAACGGCCCCCGTGGGTTTCCCAGGCTGCAACTCTTTAGGGGAACAGAAAGCCCACCTTTGGAGGTTTTGAACTGACGACTCTGCAGATTGCAGGACCATGTGTAACCACCATGCCACCAGGGCTCCCCGCGGGCCAGGTTCCCGCTCACACAATCGCAGGAGGAGCCCTGAGTCACAGCGGCGGCGAGAGAAGCCAGAGGCAACTGAGCAGGGATGCTGTGGCCCTTCTTAGGGGAGCCCGGGGTAAGGGGACCAGAGACAGAAGAGGGTCCCTAGTGGAGAAGGTGGAGGGGAGTGACAGCTAACGGGTGCGTGGTTTCCATAGGGACTGCTGAGAAGAACGCTCCAGAACTGGACAGTAGTGGCGGCTGTATATCATGAACCACACGCCACGTCTCTGAACTGCACACTTTAAGAAGGCTACCGTGAAACTGTTCTCCCGCCGTGGACGGCGACTAAAGACGATCAGAGAAGAATCGGTGATTCAGCTGTGGTGCTGGTGAAGCATGCTGCGAGGATCGTGGGCCGCCAGGAGAACCAACACATCCATTCTGGAAGAAGGACAGCCAGAGTGCTCCTTAGAGGCACGGATGGTTAAAACCGTCTCGTTTCTCAGGAGAGCTGGTCCCTGGAGAAGGACGTCATGCTTGGTAAAGTGGGAGGGCAGCGGAAAAGAGGACGGCCCTGGACCAGATGGACGACACAGTGGCTGCATCGAGGGGCTCAGACGGAGGAACCACTGTGGGGTGGGCAGGCTGGCCATGTTTCCCTGTCGTATGTGGTCGCTGTGCAGTAGAGCTGCAGCAGCACAGGACCGTCTATCTCAGGAGCGTGACTGACAGCATCATGCGGAATGGGCTGGCTTTACCACAGGAGCCTGCAGGCTTGGCTGCTAACGGAAGTTGGAGGTCTGGGTCCCCCAGAAGAAAAGCCTGGCAGTAGACAGACTCTGGAAAAGCCAGTCCGTGAAAACCCTGAGGGCCCGGCTCTGCTCTGACATGCCCAGGGTCACCTCGGGTGGTGGCGGATGAGAAGGCCACCAGTGAATTGGTTTTTCTACCACACCTCCCAGACCAGGGGGCTTCAGAAGTTCGTGGGAATATAGGCTCACAAGATGTTGAATCTCTCCACGCTTTCTGAGGCCCCCTTGGGGCCCCTCTGTGTGCACTGGGTGAGGCACCATGGGAAGAAGTGGGTGAGGGCCAGCCTGGTCTGTGGGTGGAGCTCAGCAGACTCAGCAATGACCTCGAGATCCGGCGCCTGGCCAGGCTGCTGGCCCTTCCCTGGGCTGGCAACAGACAGCCAGGCCACACTTGGCCGCACGCCTGAGGGGTCTCCCCCCACCCCCGCCCCCAACCTCCTTGCCAGCTTCCTGTGCCTAAGGAGCTCCTCTCTCACACTAACCTCACCCCTGCTGTCACCATCCTGGTGGCAGTCCCTGGCAGTTACCACAGCAACAGGCTGTGGTCACTTTCTGTGGGTTTGTCACAGCCCAGGCTCTTTGGTGACCCCTCCTCCCAAGAGCCTCTGCCGCCCTCCCAGCTGGGGTGCAAGACCTGCACATACGCAGTGGTACAGTCCCGCTGGGCAGCATGGGTGAACCCCAGCTCTACCCACAGGAGAGGAGCACAAAACCCCACCGGTGACACAGGGTATGGGAGCCCCGGGAGGAGAGGGGCAGAGATTTAATGGCGGATGGGGGGGTGCACTGAGACCTAAGACGGGAACCAAATCCCCTGCGCAGGGTCAGTGAGACCCCTGAGTGCAGCCAGAGACAGGGCTGGACTTCACACAGTGCCCAGGTCAGGCCTCTGTGCTGATACCCCAACAGGCCCTCCACCCTCAGGTCAGATCCCGACCCCGAGACTCTCCAACGGCCCTCCACCCTCAGACCAGACCCAACAGCCTCTGAGACCCTCCAAAGGCTTTCCGCCGTGACTCCCCAACACCCAACAAGGCTTGTACCCTCAGACCAGACCCCCAACCCGCCAACGACCTCCATGCCGGCCCTCAGTGCTTCAGCGGCCCCTCACTCTCAGACCAGACCTACGCACCCTCCCCAGGCTACCAGCCCTGAGTTGGCTGAGGGTCTCTGCCCTGCCCTGCCCCACCTCCTTCATTCCAAGGACTTTCCATCTTGGGGGTCTTGTCCTCAGCTGAACCCTCAGCCTGTCCACCACTCACTCTGGCTCGTTGTCTTCAGGGGCCTGTGCTGAGGAGCCCCCCCACAGCCTCTGAGCACTGTCCCCAGGCCATGAACTAGGGGGGTGCCTCTGCTCCATGGCAGGTAGGGGCTGTGGCAGTAGGTGGGTGCAGCTGCTGGGACTTACCCATGCCCCAACTCTACAGATCTCAACAGAGAAGCAAAGGGACCCCCAGGGAGCCTATCTCAGGGCTGCTCAACACTCTTGTCAGTGCCCCCACTGTGTGACACCCACACACATGGTCAGTGTCCCCCACTGTGTGACACCCACACACAGCCAGTTGCCCCAGTGACACCCCCACATACAGTCAGTGCACCCCACAGTCAGTGCCCCCACTGTGTGACACCCCCACAGTCAGTGCCCCCAC